AACGCTAAATCAACGTTATTACAAGAAATATTCCTGGCATCTCTTCTCTTAATCCAACTGTCCATTATATTACCAAATTTAAAGTCTATTGGCTTGGTCGATATTATTGTTTAAAGAGATCTGCATATTATCCTGTCAATAAAAAAGTTCTTTGGTTACTCTCCTACACAAATAAATATCAAATATATTGTTGCTGAAACTATTCAACTCAGACAATTCAAACTTTCACGACAAGAACACAAATATCAAATATTTATTGTTAAATATCAGATTTCATCAGAAATTATTTTGGGATGGCTCGCACCTGCATCCGCATCTGCACTGGCATCTGCATCCGCACCCATATCCGCATCCGCACCCAGACAATTCGATTGCCTCACTAGGTCCACAAATTTCAGTCGTCCCCATAAGTTTTGCCATTCCTTACCATTTCAGTTACCTTATTATATTATCAACTAACTATTCAATATGAAATTTTCGCGTCTTTGATTAAATTATCAACGGCTTATTATCATGTAAAAATTCTACGAGCCTGAATTAACTAGCGTACATTGAGGAATGACATTTAACCCACATTTGACCTTTACAATTACATCACATCTGATATCACCATTAAGAAGACGATATCACTGCTTATGGTATTGTGAAAAAGATATGAAAATAAAGGAAACAATGAATATATTCTTTCCTTGCTTGTTAACGAAAATAAAATCATCAAAATGATTTGCCTATCTCACAGTATTAGTGACAGGAAATATTAAAAAGGTAGTTTACAAAATGTCAAAAAATTATAGGAATTCTTGAAATTATTTCACAAAGTATCGAATCCCGAAAATTTCCGGGAATTCGAGCATCCCGCTCATTTCGTTATCAATTTATAACTTCCATTTAAATTAACTTATAACTGTAACATAACTTACTCATCACCACCATTCACAATATTTAATGTTTTCACAAGATGCCGTTTGCCGGGACCGCGTCTATATTTTGTTTAACATGATGAGAGGAATTTGTCCGCGATGGGGATGATTTAATGACATCAGTGATCAGTAGTCTGTGTCTCGATTGAAGGATGAAGAGGCTGGAACTATTTGCTCTCAAACGATGTTGTATATGAGGTATGTTGTACCATCTATTCCACTGCTTTTCTTCTTAATTTTTTTTTGAAAAGATTGCAACACTACTTTGTGCTAAATTCTTCCACCTATCATAGTTATAATTAGACTTTCATCGTCTCATTTGTCTACATTTTCATTGAGGATTTCATACTATTACAAATATCACTAGTTCTTGTTCCAAGTTTCCCTATTTCCCTATTTTACAGGGAGTCAGTACTTATGCTTATTTACTCACATTTCTTCTCTTCCCTTATTCACGTTTTCCGTGTCTTGCCTATTTTAATTGCTATTATTTCATTGCTATATTCCTTCACTTGGCTTTTTTCTTTACTATTGTTATAGGACATCTAATGAATGATTGTTTCACGTTATTATGAAATACTGCAAGGTATTGTCATTTATGCAAATAGTTTATTAATGAGCGTGATAACTCATAATAATTTTTATTGATAATTTGTCGGATGATTTATTAAGAGGAGAGGGTGGAAGGGATATAAATTGAATACGAGATTAGAAATATGAGATTCGAAACTGACGTAGTGCATTTAATCTTTTCCATGTTCATGAAACATGTGTGACGCTTGTATTTTCACTTCACTTTCTTTGCAGTGTGGATTTTTTGAGTTAATTCGAGTTATATTGGGCGAAAGCTAGTTATGTAACACTCAATAAATGGATAAATGAATAATGGCTTTAGAATGGCTTTTATGATCCATTTATTTCAAATTATTATAATCTACTCATTGTGTATTTGGTGTGAGGAAAAATAGATGGGAGATTATCCGCGTTATTACAGCATGAAAATAATTGGAAATATTAAAAGCATAATGCTTGTAAACTCATTCAGATTGTTAGAATATGTCGTAATATATTTAACATTTTTAATTATTTTTTGCTGAATTTGTGGCGATGACCCGGGAAATCTTTTTGTAAAAAGCGAAGGAGAATTAAATTATTAGTCTCATCTGACTTTATACTCTTTGAAGTTATCAGAGTTTTAACATTTTTTTTCATTTTTTCAACTTTGCTTCTGTTGCCGTAGTAGCATTGGTTCTTCTTCTGAAAGATTAGTCTTGTGTTATTTATCGATGATTGCTGAACGCTTCTGGAAATTTGTCATCTGTCTTACTTTCGTTTGATCCATTTTGATCCACTGATAGTAAAAAACATAGAGAACGCGAGCTTTTATAAATACCCTTGTTTCTAAATGATTGTTTTGATTTTATGAATGGTTCAACCAAATCATGCAAAAATCACCGTCTAATTTTGCATGACTAATCATGTCCCCAATGATTTAGGTAATCAATCAGTTACATACCATAACAATTTGTTTTTGATGACCACTAAGTAATATCGTTTTACTTAGCGAATCTTAAGTGATATTTTATCGCTTCATCTTCTGTAATTTTTGCATGACACTTCAACTTTTTATATTTTAATTTCAGGCGGTTATGGATTTGGCATCTTTGTTATTTTCTACTGTGTCACTGATAACGTTCTTGCTGATATGGTATGTTTTATTTATATAAGTGAAATCAAGTTTGCTTTTGTGCTTTGATTGTTTCATTAGACATCTGTATGGTTGTTAACCATTTACCGTCATTCGGGGGTTCTTAAGTACTGATGTAGCGTTCATTGTATAGTCATATGAAATAGGATGACTTCATTATATAGTTCATTGTATAGTCATATGAAAATGTATGGAGCTATGGACTGTGAATTAGATATATTGTTCTATAATTTGCATGTAGCATAATTTCACACTTAATTTTTTCAAACATATCGATCGAAGTAGTGCACGTTGTGTTTCAGAATAATGGGCGAAATGCATTTGCAATTTGAGCATTATTTTTGTTTATGCTCCTATTATTTATTTTCACGTCAGACCGTGTCTATAGTCTTTCTTTTTTATGTTTTAACGTTCTTCTGAATTTTTCTACTATGATGGATAAATGCGCTTATAACTGAAGGTATTTTTTTTTTTTTAAATTGGACATGATGCTACGTTATTTACATTTATTCTTGGTCATTGTATATCTGTTTGCTTAATTTACTCTCATTCTTCCTTGCTTCAGTTTGCAGTTTACATTTTTTTGAGGTAACATTTTTCAGGTTTCGGATATGGAAACATCGTGGTGTGATAGCGTTCTTTCATCCATATTGCAATGCCGGTGGTGGCGGCGAACGTGTTTTATGGTGCGCTATTAATGCCATGCAAAAAAGTAGGTGTTTGGTCGAACGAAATTTTTTTTTGATGATTTTATCTTCTCCTCAAATAGAGAGTTGTACGAACAAGAGTTTCTGCAAAAGATCTTGAAATCTTTGGTGTATGTTGGATTTCAATTTGTTATTTTGTAACTTTCAATATAAAACTTAAAAATTATAAAAATGAAGTGTCGTATTTGCTGTGTCATTCTTAGATATTTTTAAAAAAATCTTGATTTTATTTCGTATTCCAAAAAAAAATATAAATAGTGTTTTGGAAATTTTTGTATTTTTCATCAAATTTCTTCTTTCATATTTCAACAAACTAATTCCATTCATAGCTTCGTCAGTGATCTTTAAATGGAAATTTTGGAGGCACCTAATGCCTTGCTGCTGGGGCTATTTTTACTCAAGCTTTGCTGAACTGGTAAATTTATACAGACATTAAAAAATGCTAAATTCTCTCAGCGAATGGAACCACTGTCTTTTTTGTAATGGAATTTTATAGCTTAGTATGTGTTAAGGAGGTTATCACAGAAATTAAAAAAAATTTCTCCTTTAAATTTTTGAAAAATTAAAAAAGTATCATGGTGAGAACAAGGACAGATGGCTTAAGAGACGTTCATGATTGAATGAAGTGACCTGTTTTTTGGCTACAATAGAAATGATCTCATCATAGACGAATAACAGCAAAATAGTATGTTTAAAATTTTTCAAATACGAATGTCTAGGCAGTTTACGGCAAAAGAAACAAAAACAACAAGAAAGTAATCGTTGCTAAGAGGGTTGGTTAAATGAAAAGCTTCTAGATCATTATTCATGCGACTTTTTCGGAAATTCACTTAGTAATTTGCGATATTTTGTTTGTATGTGTGTATAATTTGTTTTCGCTGTGACTGTTATCTTTGAAATCACTCTCCTGTTTTACACTTTGGCAATTAAATATATTTCAGAAATATTCTAAAACGATTCCTTTTCAGGTATGGCGGGAAGTATCGATATGTGGTTTATACTGGTGATGTGAATGTAACGCCTCAAGAAATCTTGCAAAAAGCGAAGGATTGTTTCGATATCGAAGTTATTGATACCAATTTGCAATTCATCTACCTTCGGTACTTCCTTCACTGGATACGTAAAGGGAAAATAGTTGTAACCCTAGGATTAATTGTAATCTTGACTGCTAAAACCCAGATTAAGCATCTTTGAATTCCTTTGCTTCATATTAAATTTTTTGCTAATTAAAAACAGTTTTTTCTCTAAACGTGAATGGAAATTTTCAGAGATCTGCAATGAAATGTATGATTTCGTTTCAGCTTTATTATTTAATTTGAAAATAAACACTAACGAAATGCGAATTTTTAAATCTTTCTTTTTTTGTTTTCAATTTATAGTACACGGCCATGGTTGGAATCGAGCAATTACCCGTATTTTACATTACTGCTTCAAAATTTGGCTGCTTTCCTGGTTGGCGTCGAAGCGTTGATCCGGTACAATCCACATGTATTCATCGATACAATGGGCTATCCGTTTACATTACCGTTATTCAGGTGGTATTAATTTTCATCGCATTTCGATATGTCTTTTTCCTTCTATTGAAAGGAGTGAAAGTTTGCCTTCATCTTTTTCTGTAAAAGAAGAAAGATGAAGGTAAAATGAGAGTATTGTAATTCTTATAGTTGATACAAAAGGATTTTGTAAAGCACAAAGCAGTGCGAAATGGTCTAACATAGGGTGTGATTAACAAATGTCACATGTAGAGAGATATAGTAGTTTCACGTTCAGATAGGATCTAACAGCGGTATCAAAATATATTGTAGAGAAAGTTCCATTGTTTCTGTAGTAAAATCAAATAAATGTCGCTAGGTTAATGACGTTTGCTTATTTTAAAATTGTTTCGAAAAGAAGTAATGTGTTGTTGAACAGTGCTTTAACAAGAATAAATAATATATAGATGTTTCTTGCAGGTGGTTAGCTGGGTCCAACGTTGCTTGCTATGTGCACTATCCTGTTATTTCCCATGGTTAATTTTGCATTCACTTGTGTTGCCTTCTGAATGTGTTTTTTTTCACATTGAATATCTCACTTAGAAATGGTGAAATTGGTGAAATCAGCCGAGCCATCTTATAATAATGCGCATTGGATAGCGAAAAACCGTTTCTTTACTTACTTCAAGTTGATATATTATCGCATATTCGCTATATTCTACTCTTTTAGTGGTATTTGCAGTAAAGTTGTAATGGTTAATGGCACGTAAGTATTTGATTTGTCACTGCAAATTGTTTACTGTTGTTATCAATTACTTGAGCAACTAGCATAGACAAGGGGAGGTAGCAGATTAATGTTTATTATCCAAAGTTAATTGTTTTTAGATAGTAATTAACGTTTGCGAAGAAGGAACAGCATACAGGTGTCTTTGTAAGATGTCCCGTTCCTGATTTGAAAAATCATCGTGCTATGATTGCTTATTTTTTCCTTTTCCATACATTAGAACATAATTTGTGCGTTTCAGATTGATCGTGATTGTAGACCTTTGGAATTAATAAGGATGTTTCATTTGCCTATCTAATATTTGAAGTTGCACTTTTTTAAATTTTCTATTTTTCTAGTTATTAACTGTAAATTTTCAGCTGGACTCGTGATCATATTGTGGCGTTGTGGGGTATTGACGATCGTACATACCTTGTCTACCCACCATGTAATGTTGATAATTTACTCAGGTTTCTTCACTTGTTTATTTATGGAGGATGGAAGTAGGAAGGAAAACTGGAAATATTAACTAAGAAACGATATGGTTATCGAATTGGTGTTGTATGACAGTCATTAGAAAGAAGGGTTGTTCAAAAGTTCAGTAAATAGTATTATTTTTTTCTCTTTAGGATCAATTCGAAGGCGGAAAAGTTACTAAGGGAAGAGGGACGGGTACAGATATTATCAATTGGACAGATAAGACCCGAAAAAGATCATCGATTACAGATTTCTGTTTTAGCTGAGTTGAAGAAACGGTTATTGAAAGAAAATCTGAAGTACAAGGTATGTTTTCTATATTACCATCTCTGATTTCCAATACCGTAAAATGCAAATTTTGGGAGCGAGTGGTTTTACGTAATTTCCATTTGTTCTAGAATCTGTTATTACAGATGATTTCTATTTTGAAGTAGGGACGAAAGAGGTCTCAAAACATGGTCATGATATTTTTGCAGATTAAACTGGTTATATGTGGTGGTTGCCGTGATATAGACGATGTTCAACGTGCCAGAGATTTGCAGCTGTATGCAAAAGATATGGGCCTTAACAATAATGACCTAGAATGGGCACTTAATGCGTCTATTAATGAAGTAGAAGCACTGCTTGAAGTAATAGAACTTCTATATTTATAATTAGTTCACATTTAGCGGGAGTAAGATCTATAATAATTCAAATATATATCGAAATAAAATTAAGGAATCATTGATCGGTATCCACACTATGCAAAATGAACATTTTGGCATATCTGTTGTAGAGGGTATCGCTGCTGGCCAAATTATGATCGCTCACAATTCAGGTTACTTACTGTTTTTTGTGCCTTGTTCTTTTTTTTCTTCTTTGAACTGAAGATCGTAGCAAATTTTGATAATGCAAGATAACTAACAATTTACAGGTGGGCCTAAACTGGATATATTAAATGCGAATGCCGTTGGAAGCAAAATTTCGCTCGGTTTGCTGGCAACTAGCGTGAATGGTAAGTTTTCTTGCACTTTATTTTTAATGAAATTACTAATGCTTTATATTTAGTAATGAAATTATTAAGTAAAAAACGAAGAAAAAAGTTCACTCAGAATTACAAAAACGTCTTAAAAAAATAAACGCTTGTTTCTGTTGTAAATTTCTTATAGCTTTTTTTTTAACTTTTCATTGAATAATTCTAACAATGTTGTGATTTATGGAATGAATGCACAAGGCTGTCTTAAGAAGTGAAGAGAATAGGGAGAACAATTGATAACTTCTAGCAGTATATCCAAGTTTATAACTCTTCGTTCCATTGGCATCTTTCTTTTCACCCTAAACTGAAAACGAGGTTGGAAAAGACAACTTATGAAATATTTTTGTTCCCAACCTGGAAATTTGAATTTATTGGAAAAGGGAAATAGAGAAAAGGTAAATGATAAGAAATGAAATAAAGCAAGTAGGAAAATATTTTCAATAAGTAGTCTTCGTCGATGTTGTTGTTGATATCCAGTTATTTTCAAGCTTTCTTTACTCCCTTCATTATTTATTTAATGTGATTCTGTCGAAATTTTGTTCATTTTCAGATTTTGTAGACTGTACTCTAGAAATAATACGAATGAGTCCGGAACAACGCAATTCAATACGTGATGCTGCGCGTTGTTCGGTGAATCGTTTTACCGAAACAAATTTTGAGAAAGGATGGAACTCTGTGGTCGAGAAATTATTACCTGCTTATTATTGACAACATTACTATTTCCACTTTTTTTAAAATCTTATTGAATTAGTTGGACTTCGTGTGTTCATCATCCTCACTTTTCATATTTCTTCTGTTCTTCCTTCTCTCAGTTCATTTATACTGTTTCGAATCGTATTGCATCTAAGGACAAATTTTTTTGCAAGTAAAATTAATTTAGTCATATATTGCTTATTGAAGAATTTTATGTGGCTAGAAATATTTCTATTTCATTATTGCTTTTGCAGATTTGAATCCATTCATGCTGACTTTGTTCACAAAGGTTGATATTGAATTCATCCATCCAAGCGATTGCGATTCATTCATCCCTTCACCGATATTAATTAGAAAGATATTAATTAAATTTTCAGGACGAAAATAGAATAGGAAGCCGGGCGATGACGTTAAGAAACATTTCTTGGCATTGCATCGTATCACATTTGCCCTTTTTTTAATAGCTTCCATATAATCTATTCCCATATAATCTTTCCATATAATCTATTTACGACGGCAATCAGCTGTATATACTGACTTTTGTTCAGCAGCTCATTAGATTGGCTTAGTTTGCATGGATTTCAAGAATACGTCATTTTTGAAGCAATTTTTAATGAAGTTAAACTTTTTTTACACAATTTGCACAAATTTTCCGAAATAATAACAATTGCATAAATCACTTTTTCAAATCGTAGTACAGTTGAATATTTCTGGGGCGCCGTAGGAATATAGTGTTCTAGAGTAAAGGAAAAATATAAAAAAATAGAACGCCATGATCAGTGTGTCTTTCATTTGGATACATTATTTATTGTCAAATTAACGCGCTTCCTTTTATAATTTGTATTACGAATCACAGCGTAAGATATGTATATTGTATATTGTACTTCAATTATCAGTGGAAAAGAGCTGTGATTTATTTCAACTAAAATCTAACGGTGCATGTTATATGCGTTATATTGCGATGAAAGTTTTATATTTGTGATTGATATGATTTAACTTTTCTAACTTAAGGGTTTAATTATGGATATATATATTGAATAAATTTTTTTTCTACCTTTCTGTATGTCTGTTGTATGCTCATCCCTATGACAGTGGAAATTATATATCAGGATTAACATATAAATGAATAAAAGGGCAAATTAAATTTGTGTGAAAATTTGATCTATATTTGACGGAATATGTCTTTGATGTTTCACTTCACACTTTATAGGTCAGGCTTTTTCCATTTTAATGGTGTGTAAAAATTTATCATAGCTTATATGCCTAGTTTATAGTGGAAAATGGCATTGTAAATATTCTGATTAGTAGTTTTTATAATTGATTTTTATGTACTTTCTTGCCTGTTCTACGTATAATATTTTTTGGGTTGTTTTTTTCTATTATTGGATGAAAGTACACATTGATAGGTTGCGATTTTGAATGATTTTGGAAAGCGGTCTTGTTGAGTAACAGATCTTTGCCATAAGTGTTACTTTTATCTTTCAGTCGCTTGGGACATAGGTAAAATTAGTTGGTAGATACGGTGTTCCCTTGCGACAAATTGTCAGTTCGGCAAGAATCATGAAGAATATGTAATTGTCAAATATTGATTGGCAAAGAAAGTTTGGACTAATGACGAAATTCTTCGGAAACAGAATTCTGATAACTACAGTGTATTCGGGGATTGTGTATAAATTTCGCTGGCATAATTTCCGGATTAGTGACCTCAAGGGAAAATTTGGAATCGTTCCGATAATGCTTCACCTAATCATTTGTAATTTTTACAATGAAAACATTGCAATTTGCGCCTGTTTTTGTAATTTTTAGCCATCCATTTTTGTGGATTTTTGATTTTGCAACCCTGCGTGGCCTATCAATGTGGAACAATTTGTGAATTCAGGAAGGCACAACCTGGATACCTGCATATTATTGAGATTTTAGTCCAGCTTTCTGGGCTATCGATGAAGATTTTTTCAGTCCAAGTGCTTCATAAAGGCCCTGATGGCAAAGCAAAAGCTCTCAAATCTGCTCATGATTTGAGCAGTTTCAGTTTCTTCCAGCGAAGTTCCGTTCAGGTTAGTTGATTAAATATTTTTTATTTGCTCGAGAAAATGTGGTCATCGAATCACCGAAATGACATTACCGGTCTTGACCATCCATAATTTCTTCATTTCAAATTGATTTAACATCTCGTGATAAAAAACAGAAAACAGGAATAGGGTGGTATATTGTTTGTATGAAACTTTTACCACTTCAGTTGATTTGAACTGAACTGTAGAAATATTTTGTTATTGAAGTGTTTATTCGTTTTATCGAATATATTGATATAAATTGATTTTCAGGAATTCATGATTTTTACGGGGAAGTTACTGGTTGAACGTTCTGCCTTGTCAAGTCGATGTTCTGTGAAAGAAAATGAATATTTTTGTCATATGTAAGTTAAGATGTTTATTTCTGTACTTTATATTTTAGTTTTTTTTTTTTTTCTCTGTTATCTCGTTCATCTCATCATTTCTGCTTTACAGGGAAGACTATAAAAACCTTCTGGTATTTTCGAATTCTATGCATCATATTTAGAAGTCTTATTATCACGAATGGCTTGGGTTTTATTTCCCAACTCCAGCAAAAATTTGCATATAGCATGTAGCTTGTCTCTTTACAACAAATGAAGAAAGCTTGATCTTATAGGTTTCTTTAATCTTCAGATTCGTACGACAAGATGGATTGTCAGGCATTTGCATAACGGATGCAGAATATCAGCAGCGTGTCGCATTCACAATGTTACGTCGAATCTTGGATGATTTTGCTGTCAAAGTGCCATCGATCCAATGGGTTCGTTCAAATTTTTTTCCCCTGTTTTGTTTCTTTCTTTGAAATCAGAATTAACAGTCGAACGAATATTCAGAGACTTCAGGTTGTTTGAATCGGAATCGAAAAGAAAACTAAGATTTTGGGTAATCGATGTGAAGCGTAATCTAGGGTGTCTAATTTGGAACCAGAAAAGTGTGGAAAGCTTTTTAAGGAAATATACCAGTTAACAGTTGACCTAAGTTTAATAACAACTCTTAATGGGACAATTTCGACAAATATCGGACGAATAGACTTAGCTACAGGCGTGACCATTCAGTTCAAACCTGTGTAAGCATAATATGCATGAAGCGATGCAGCAGCAATTTATTTCCCATGCGTCAAGGAAGATCAACAAAGGATAAGTAATCTTACGAATGAAATTGTTTGAGAATGGAATTGGCAATCGTTTTTTCGGTCATTTTGATTGGAATGCTTTGACAGGGCTTTGGAAAAATTAAACCATCAATCCTTACTCTGTTAGCGAATTTTGCTCCCATGATTAGAAGGACTTGAATGGCTTATTAGAGAACCTTATGCATATCAGCTTTGATTGCACAATGACTTCTGTAAGGTTCTTCGTCAGTTTGTTTTCGGTTGCGATGGAATAAATGCGAAAGTATTACTGCGTTCTTTCTTATCGAAATTATAGCTCAGGCGAACAATGAACCAATATTGAAAATAGGTAACATATGTAGCCGAAAAACTTTGTTCTGCTAATTATTTCCTGTGTTGTTTAAAGAAAGGAACTGTCCTTTTTGGAACTTTTAGACGACGTTTCTGGCAAAGAGTTAAGTGCTAGGAAACTGCTTTTTTAATGCCGTGAAAAGCCGTGGATTATTGCTTCAATACAACTTCTCTAGCTATATCAAATGCTGCGCTGTCATGGATTATATTTTCCGTACCCAGTACTTCCAAGACTGCAAAATAGAAGAATAAGAGCAGGATTGGAATTGAAGTTCAATTTATGGAAATAGAAGATGCGATTTGGTCGTCTACCTATTAAAATATTTTCAAACAAGAACTGTATATTATTTAGTGCTCCGATAGTCATGCTGCTTCTGCTTATTACTTCAATTAGTGCAAGACCAATTTTCAGGCACAAATAAAAACTGAAAAAGACTGCACCTATGCAGGTTTATCGGAGCTACTGATGAAATGGCAGAATCCTCGTGAAGCAGATGCGATGACTCGAGTTCAGGTCAACAATGAATTTCTTCCTTTTTGTATTTCTAATGAAAAGGTTTAATCAGAAATTCTCGAAACTACAGTAAAAGTTTCTTTGTTGCTTAATTTTTTTTGCATATAACAGAAATAAAAGTTTTCTCCTCGATAATTCTTTTTTATATTTCATTCCCTTGTCATTTATGTGTAAGTACATTTTTAGGAAGAAGTGGAAGAGACGAAAGTAGTATTGCATAATACAATACAGTCAGTGTTGGAACGTGGTGAGAAGCTTGATGACTTGATCGCTGCTAGTGAAGGCTTGTCCAATCAGAGTAAATTATTTTATACCCAGGCAAGAAAGATGAATAAATGTTGTAGCTGGGCCTGAATGCTTTCACTGCTTATATTCCATATATTTCTTGTTTTTGTTTTTGTAAGATGATTCGCCCTCTATCGTATAGTCCTCTTTCTACCATATCCATCAATTTCCTGCTCGTCTTTTGATACTGAGTTATCATTAAATTGCGCATAAGGATCATGATAGAGACTTACGTTGGAAGGCATCATACTATTCCATTTAATTCACTTGTTAGTGATTACTCAATAAGCAGAGTTAAGAAACTCGATATCAAGCTATTACAAGTAATAAGAACCAGTTGGAGAAATGTTATTCGTCGACTCAGCCTGTTTTTCTCGAGCTTTTTTTTAAAAAAAATTTCATGTTTTCCGAAATCCGCACACTGTCAAGCTGAAAAGGAGAATATCTAGTTCCCTAACTCATTTGTTATCGATATAAACCTTTCCTTTACTTTTTCCTTCCATTTTGCTAGGCCTGCTAAGCTTCTTATCTGTGTTCGCTAAAAATTTTCATCTGAAAGATTTTTGTGGAGTTTTTAGTTGTTTACATATTTATTTTCTGTGATTTCATTTCTAAAAATGGCATCTTCCGTACTTTTTCTTTTTTTTCTTTTGAATTCCAACTGTTCCTTTCTTTGCTGCTGAATCCTATTTAGACAATTGAATAGTGACGACGTAGCAGTCGTTAGATACTTTTAGGTAAACGACTGAAAAAGCATTGCAAAAACTTGTCAATTTTCAAGTTTATCATACTTTTTTTCGTCTTTCCCGAAGGAAATTCATTAAAAACGATTTTAAATTTCTGCTTTGTGATCTTTTAATGCTTAATATTAATGTAATATTGTAAGCGGAACTGCATATCTATCATAAATCGCTACATCTAGAGGTTTGTTTTGGTTCGTTTAAAATTTTACTTAAAAGTAAGCGGTGAACTGAAGGATAAACTCCTCGAATCACTATATCTTCCATCGTTAACCTTGTCTAAACTTTCTATTACGAAATAACTTATTAAGAGATGACGAGATCTTATCAAAAGACCTAATCAGGTTAAACAATCTGGGCTTCATTAAAAACACTTAATGCTATCTTAGAAAATCATCAAAAAGTCATGTGAATAACATTAACGGCGACAATTTTGTTGTGAAAAGTGTTGACAGAACTGAAAGTTACGGATGGAAACTTTGGAAGCTTTAAAAAAATCTGTGGAAGAACATTTTCAGTAAATAAATTTTTTCTTTAGCTTGAATTTTAGTTGTGACAAAGATTCAGGAGGATTACGACCAATTTGATTGTAATTTGATGGTAAGTTTCAGTTCCAGAGGTTATGTCATCTGTCATCTTTCTTCAGGAATTCCATCCACCCGTCCACTTCATGTCCTACCATATCTCTTCCTTCGTCCCATTGAAATCCGAATGTCAACTTTTCGAGTAAACCATACACATATCCTACATGCAATTCCATAATTCGTTGCATGCAATACATTGGCTCATTTGACTTGGAAGTCTAATTAGGAGAATTCCATGTGCATGTCTTAGAAGGTCATTTTGGTAGCGATGGACCAGTTTTGTTCCACTTTTGATTTCTGTCATTGTCAACCTTAGTTTTGTTCCACTTTTGATTTCTGTCATTGTCAACCTTTGTTATCATATCTTTCGTTGTGACCATTGTCCTTCTTCATGTTGTATTTTGTTAGTGTTGTACGCAATAAAAAGAAAATCTAAATGATTGATGATTCTTTCATTGTACATCTTATTTATTGGGAGTGTTAACGTTTCGTATATTGGAGATATCTTGGGAATTCAGAATAAGAATAAGAAATGTGATAAGAGCTGAAGTGACAATTATCTTATGTGAATGAGATACAACGCAAAACTGTGGGAATAGATGATACGTATATATACTGTAGATATCTACAGTAACTGTGTATTGGTAGACTGTTGTATATAGTTGATACTCATTTCTCATTTCTTAATGTTTTAGAAATTATCGTTACCATTACAATATTTGCTGACAACATTTCCACATACTATATGTTATCAATGTGATTCAAGTTTGAATTGATTGATTATCTAATGTTTAGGGAAAGTACGAACATTGTTCAGTAAATTTTTCTGAAAAACGTTAATCTTTTGTTTCTGGAAAATGGAGGAACCACCGATAGGAAACGAGAAATTGGATGATGAGAATGAGAAATTAATGGATGCTGGTGATTTAAAAATGGCTCAACATAATGGTGAGGAGAATAGTGATGATAGCACACAAAATGTAGCAGGCCGGAATAGTCCAACTGCTGTTATCGACCTCAAAGAACTCACTGAATCTGCTCTGATGAAGAAATTTGAGGTGATCATTTTCATTCGATTAGAATGAATTTGAAATTAAAGAAACAAGGGTCAGAATTAGCAAATAAAACAAAAATTTTGTAGTGATGCTGAAGATGAGCGAAATAATTGTGTACTACGATCATTTATTTCGAATTTATTATTTAGATGTTGACGGTTGGTGGTACATCGTCTGCTAAGCACCTGACCGAAGCACAGCGACATAAGTATCTCTTTTGGGACACACAGCCGGTTCCAAAAATCAGTAAGTGTTTAATAGGAATTTCACATTCCCATTGGATTTCAAGGAAAATTTATTTAAAGTAAACTGAAAAATATGAAGTCTTGGTAAAGAAAATTTTCGCATTAATTCACAGATGAAATGGTGACGGAGAATAGAGCAATCGAATCTCCTTTGGATATCTCAGAAGTACGTGAAGAGCCGTTTTCATTGCCAGATCCTTTTTGTTGGAGCGATGTTGAAATCGATAGTATGAAGGAACTTACCGAACTTTATACACTACTGACAGAGAATTATGTGGAGGATGATGATAACATGTTTCGATTTGATTATAGTCCACAGTTTTTGCTTTGGTTCGCGAACTTTCTTCTATAACTTGCTGACAATTTGTGAAAGTGGCGATAGTATGACGAAAGTGACAATAAGCAATCATTATTTTATCCATAAGCAATAAAAATGACGTGAATAGATAGAGTTCTGATAGAACGAATGATTATATTCAGTAGTTATACTGTAATACTGAGCGGCATGATGTATTAAGCACACAAAAGACAGAGCAGAGGAAGAGGGGCTTAAATTTGTTCGTGGAAGAATTTTGTGATTTATATGGCGAGTAATAAAGATAATCTATTTTCCTAATCATAAAGAATATCCTATTGTACATATAAGTAAATCAGTGTTCATAAAAGTCCACTTAATATCCTCAGCGAATTCCAGGGCCTTGAAAGCTCCGGGATGGATGAAGAAATGGCATTGTGGTGTTCGGGCAAAATCAAGCGGAAAATTGATTGCTTTTATTTCTGCTATTCCTTCAGTTATACGGGTTTATGACAAGGTACTTTTTGTTTTTAATGTCTATAAGCAATAGTATTATTAGTTGATTTAATATTCGTTCCTGTTATTATTCCAGTAAAAATGAATAAGTATTTAAAAAATTTGAGAAACAATGATTTATTGCATCTAAAGTATTGTCTGGACGGCGACAGCATATACTTATTTAGTATATGATACACTCACGATAATTTGTTATTATAATTCATATGTCGCCAAATTTTTTTTTTGTTATTGGTGGTGTACTGTACCTTTTTTCAATGTTTCCCATATGAATTAAGCATTTAATCCAAAAAATTGCTTCCATTTAGGAAGTTAAAATGGTTGAAATTAATTTCCTTTGTGTGCATAAGAAACTGCGCTCAAAAAGAGTAGCACCAGTGTTAATTCGTGAAATCACTCGGCGTGTGAACCGAGAAGGTATCTTTCAAGCAGCGTTCACAGCTGGTGTCGTCTTACCGAAACCAATTGCGACGTGCAGGTATTGTACAACTGTACATTCGGTGTTATGTTTGCAGCTGTTATGTTTTGATTTCCACTTCATATCTCCTGCTATGTGAATAAAGGTTTTAAAAAAAGACATATATTAATTAAGTTTAAATGCAAAAAATCGAACTAAATCTAGTAGGCTTATGCTTTCCAGATACTGGCATCGATCGTTGAATCCAAAAAAGCTTATTGAGGTGAAATTTTCTCATCTTTCACGGAAAATGACGATGCAAAGAACGCTGAAGTTATATAAACTTCCAGAAGTATGTCTTAGCTGGAGTCAATTGTAAATTTTCTTTGTATAAATACTATTAATCGTTATTAGGTTAATGATTCTCCTATTCTTGCACGAAATGTATGGCTATTACTGAATTACTGATTGAAATTAACTACTAAATTTTAAAATTTCAATTGTTATGCAAATTTTTGTTTTTATATGTTTCAAAGATATTTCAAAGAACAATCAAAATCAAAAATCAAAAACGGGACCAACGAGAAATTTCTGACAGCTAATGAAGAATTTAACTTCATTAGTCGAAAATTGGTGTTAACTGAATTCTAGTTAATATCCTGAACATATTAACATCAAGCTATTATATTATTAGATAATTGTTTTTCAGCAGCCTAAGACGGCAAACTTAACATCGCTGAAGGAATGTCATATTGATGGTGCGTATGGCTTGCTACAATGTTATTTGAAGAAGTTTGACTTGTCTCCTCAATTTACTCGAGCCGATTTTGAGCATTTCTTTATGCCACGTGAGGATGTCATCTACAGTTATGTTGCGTTGGTTCGTTTATTTTTGTTGTATATTTCTACGACTTTATTCAGAAATTATTCAAATTATGATACGATTTTTTCGTGTTACTGATGTTTTTTGAATCACTGAATAAACGAATTTATATTTAGCTAAAATTTTGAATGAAATCCAAACTTGTATACATCGGAGAGGATGGCTTGGTATTTAATGCACTAAAAATTTCCAGAATGAGGAAGGTACTAAGGTAACCGACTTGATTAGCTTCTACTCACTGCCTTCATCGGTCATGCATCATCCACAGTATAAATCAATTCGTGCAGCATATTCATTCTACAACGTTGCCACTTCAGTAACTCTTAAACAACTCATCAATGATGCCCTTATTCTTGCGCGAAATGTACGGTTATTGATTAGTATTAACTGATAGAAATGCAATGCGTAACAAATTCCAAAATGCATGGCAAATTTTTTTACATTTCTCGTTTTTTCTCGATCTATTTCTTTTGTAACAAAAAAAAAAAGAAAAAAGCAGATGATATCTATTTTTTAAGAAAGGCGCCATATTAAGCCTCGTTGGTATAGGTAGTTATTTTAACGTGCGAGTGTAAGCATCAGAACATTTACTATATTGAAACACCGAAATTTTTGATTTTGTTGGTTGATTTTCTGATTATAATTTGAACTTGGAAATTGGAAAGCCATTTTCTGTATTTTTTTTGAATTGGAAGACATTTTTTATATTTCACAGTGTGGTTTTGATGTGTTCAATGCACTTGATCTCATGGACAACAAAGAAATATTGGAAGATCTCAAGTTTGGTATTGGTGATGGAAATTTGCAGTATTATTTATACAACTGGAAGTGTCCCGATATCGTACCGGAGAAGATTGGTCTCGTACTTCAATAAGTTTGTTCTATGTTATAGCTAAAGCTGCTAGGATTATTTCTAATTGTATTTTTATGAACATTTTCGTGCATGTTGTCGGTGAACGATGCTTTCCGCATTTATCGTTTGATTTGGGCAAAAGCTAGATGTTATCTGGCATACATTTGGGATAGTTTTCTTGGTCTTGGTTTTATATTATCAGTAACTCAAAAATATCGCTGAACTGGATTAGGTGACCGCATGAAACTAACTCTAAATGCAAAGCATGATTTGGTAAATATGTGTATTTTAAGTCATAATTTATGTAGTATTTCATGATTTGGGAGCAGAATGTGGTTTATGAACTGAAACTGCAAAAGAAAGTACAATTGTTGATAAACGCATCAGTTTTAACAAAAGAAAAGAGTTTGTGAGCTATGGTTGTAGCTAATCGTCATTTTTAAATTGAGTCGTCTTTTCTGAGGTACCAGACTATCTGCAGTTAACATTTTCTTGTTTTAACTTCGATTTAAGTCAGTGGCTTTTACTTCTTTGGGTTCAATAAGTTTATCTGTTATCACATATAATCACTGAGTCCTAAAGTCTAATGTCTCGAGCATTTTATCTTCGAAATACAAATCATACAGTTTGCTATGTATCCAAACACTGTCATCACTGTTTTGTTATTTATTTTATTTCTTTGAATGAATTAATAATAGTAATAATTCTTGTGTTATTATTTAAGGAATCTACTAATTATTTGCATTTTTAATAGACTTCTGAATGTACCTTCGCATTACAGTTTGGATCTTTACGAAGATGCTTAGCTTTAGCAGGATATAAATCCAAATTTTGAAATTTCGACAGTGTATTCAACCTTGAGACGGGTGCTACTTTACTTTGTTCATATGCAATTCATAATTCATTGCTTTTTCTTTCTTTTCACGAAGTTTGTTCCCTGCTCATTAAATCGATAAATTTGAGTGTCAATCAGAAATGAAATATCATTATTCTTTTGTAAGCTTAAGCATAAAATTTTTAACAGATAGTAGTTGGAAAGTTACGAACCTACAGCTATTCAATTAAGTATTTTCTGATAGATGTTGGACCCGGATGAATTTTATCAATTTCAGACAATAATTTATTGTTATTTGAGATGGAATGATCAATAAAGTGTACCCCTTCTTTTTTCTGATAATTTTAGCACTTGAAAGATATTGGGAGATTATTTCGGTTGTTTGCGAGTTATCATGACTGCTTCATCCTATGTGCTATTTGGTCGTCCTTATTGTTCTCAAATACATAATTGAAATTAATGCTTTCAAATTATTTCGAATATTGGGACAATATTATGCTAAATGAGTGATCCTTTTATGATAAATTGATCGGCTAATTGTAATTTTGTTGTTTATTGTTGCTCTCTCCCTGCTGTATTACTGTTATTAATGAAGTCAAATGAAAACTTTGTTCACTCAGGATTGTCACATTTGCAGCTTTCATTGTCTTATTTATGTTACTATTATTAAGTCTTCACTATCATCTGATGGCATACGAAATTCCAATTCCAATAGAAATTTAGCAAATTATTGGTCGAATTTTGTCAATGCTAACTTTCTCAAATTTCTTGAATCGCAAATTTCGTCATTTTTGCATTTTGTTTTTTATTCAACAATACTTAACATGATCGGAAAAAAAATGAACAAATTTGAAAAAAGAAAAAAAAAGTATTCCGGTTTGATATCCATTTTTGCATTCCTTGTATGATGTCATTATTTTTATAGTCATTTTTTTTCCGGAAAATATACATCATGATTACAATGGCTAAAATTTGTTGAAATTAAAAATAGGGTGTGAGTTTTCTAGTGAAAATTGAGATGAAATGATTTATCAATTTGATTTTTTCTTTAATATCATATGTCATCGTAATTCATTCGTCAATTTATTGCGAGATTTCTTCAACGATCCCACGATATTTAAAGGTTAGGTCATGAAATTTCATTTTTTAAATTAGAATTCTTAAAAAATTTTCTTACAAATTCATTATTTGGTT